TTAACCCTTTCGTGACTGGGTTCTTTCTGGATCTTCCGCGGTTTTTTTTGTTCTGCCGGGACCGAATAGACCGATGAGTCATGAGACACACACACACGACACCCGCACTTGAACGTTTGCACGTTTGTTTGCGCACCAACAGGTTCCCACACGGGTCAACCGCACGCACCCCATGGTGCCACAAAGGTTTAGTGCCCAACAGCAGCGTAACCCTCACGTGAAGAATGTGATGAGTGACCGATAACTACACTGACTGCTGTACTGCTGTATGTAGGTGCTGTCGGAAACCGGAGGAGAGAGAGAGGAGAGGGCGCCGTATTTCTTTACCCCAAACACGATTACATGGTGATAGTCTACATGGATACAGCAGCAGCAGTAGAGATACATCGCATGCACAGCAGTTCTACCCCGCCGCCGATGCAGCACACTGGCGCAAGGCATGGCACCGCCTCCAATGCCACTTGGTTGGGTGGTAAATCCAGCGGAGACAAGAAGCACACACGCACGCGGTTTGTTTGTTGGATGCATGCATGCGAAGCGAAATGAAAAAGCACCAGCAGCAGCAGCAGCAGCCCGCCGCAGCAGCAGCAGCAAGCACGAGCCGCGCGAGAGATAAACTATGCCTTGTGGTGGCGGTTGGTTGAAGACGGACAAGGAATACACTCGAACACACACACTCGCGCAGGAGAACTCGGGGAGAGGCCTCGTAAGCTTGGCCTTCAGTTCTGCAACCACATTCCGAAGGCAAGGAAGAAGGCACACAGCTCAACAGCGAGAGCATGGGTTATCGTACCAGATAAAGACAGGTTTTATCATGCCTCCTATCGTGCCTGTAGTCACGAAAACCCTCTCAAAAACGCGAAGGCACGGGGGCGGGTGTCTCTTTTTGACACTCTGTCACTCCGCCACAGCCTGTCAGCACAACAGCAGCAACAACAGCAGTACAGCAGTACCAACATCACCACCATGGACCCAGAGGACATCGCTCAGTTCTGGGAGGCTGTTTCTGTCCCCGGTCGTTACTTTGTTTCTTTTCGAGCGGTCTAGTCGTACCGTCGAGCCGTCGTCGACGCAGGTATCCACAGCTCAATTCGGTTCGAAAGTTGTCGCATATAAGGGTTATCGTGCCTGCTAACATGCACGATTCGGGGGTGTAGTCACGAAAGGGTTAACGTGGGAACCCAGGAATAGTTCCCGGGTACTGCTGCTTTGTAGACATCCATGGATGCAGCGATGTATCATGTATCATACAAACATAGGCTACAGCAGTACTACAACAGTAGTAGAGGGCGGGAATAAGCAGCGAGGTACGGCTCAAAACTTTGCAGTAAAGTCTGCGATGGTGTGCAAGGCACGCTGCTTCCAGGCAGCAAACACACAACAGGCCTGATCGTCTTCGTTTTTCGTATCTCCAAGCTGGTGGGATGAGTGATTCTTTTACTGAAACCTTGGCGGACTTCAGCTTTAAAGTCTTCTACTACGGAGACGAGCTTCCGGATTTCCTTTGGAACCTCCACACCAGTGCCAACCTTTCAGCGCTGGGAGAGAAAAAACGGCCGATTGCAGTTGGAGGGGTTTTGCATCGCATCATCAGCGGCAGCTTCTGCCGCCAGTACAAGGGAGGAATTGCCAACATCTTCGAAGCAGCAAATCAGTTCGGAGGTGGTTTTCCAGGAGGAGTTGAGATAGTGGCTTCCACAGCAACCCTCAGCCACCAGCAAGGCAGCACCATTCTCTCCTTTGATGGGAAAAATGCTTACAACAGCATGCGCAGATCCTCCATCTTGCCAGCAGTTGCCACTCATACGCCACACTTGGTGACGTAGTTCGGGAACATCTACGCTCGAACCAAGGCGAAACTTCTGTTCAAAATGGTAGATGGTTCGATCGAGGTTGTTCTTTCGCAGCGCGGTGTTCAACAAGGCTGCAATTTGGGAGGGTTCGGCTTCTGTGTAGGACTCCTTGATATCATGAAAGAGTTCAACAACAAGCCACCAGTGCCAGGAGTCAAACTCATCGGATACGTCGACGACCTCCAAGCACATCTTCCACCAGGTTTGGCTAGGAACATGCAGGCCATATCCACTGTAACGAATTGGATTCAGGAACGTCTCTCCCAAAAAGGCATTGAGCTCAGTCTCCCGAAATCCAAAGTGCTTTTCCCGGAAGGTCTTTGCATGTCCTCTTTGACAAACGACGAACAGCAACAATTGACGAAAATTGGTCTGTCAGTTGCTGAAGGTGGCATGCCAGTTGTCGGGATCCCAGTAGGAACAGAGGAGTTCCAGAGGAATTTCGTTTCCAAAATCGCCCGTGGTGACCCGGCGGAATTGATACTTCGCCTAGCAACGCTTGACGACCCTCAAGCCAGCTATCAACTGCTGCGTTTATCTGGTGTGCCACGTTTGTTCCATCTGCTGAGGACGATTGCACCGTCTATCACCAACTCTGCCGCAAAAATACATGACAACATGATGATGTGGGCAATGAGTAAGATCGTCCTTGGCAAGATGGCCGACAGCATGAGAATACCAACGGTCAAAGAGGTACGCGCAGACCCGACGAAGAGCGAGGAGGTAGATTTCTTCAAAGGGACAGCTCGAGCGCAGGTGCACCTACCCATGCGAGAAGGAGGACTAGGAATCACGAGCAATGTTCTCATTCGAGAATCGGCTTTTGTGGCAGGGCAAGCGCTGGTGTTCTCCAAGTCAGTGCAAGCATCGACAGGATACACAGTTGAGCAATGTCTACCCCGGCTTGCCCAGCTACCGACAGGGTTGGCTCTGATTGACTCGCTGAAGAAGCTAGAGGAAATAATCACCAAAGACAAGCTTGAAAAAGCTGTTGGGCAGTCATGGGCTAAACTTGCCACAAGTGATGAGTTACCCCCCGACCTCAAAGGAGTTTACCTGTTGGAAGCAGAGAAGGCGGGAAAACCCAGTGAAGATGGAAAGCCTGACGTAGAACATCAACCACCGTCCATCTACAGCCGAAATGAATTTGGTCAACACCACCAAGTCTTTGGGGCCCAAGCTCTCCT